CAACCAGGGGTTTTTTGCTAGGCTGGTGCTAATAATGCCGCCAACAAAGGGAATTTCTGTAGAGCAACGACGTGCTCTGCGACGATGAGCGCACGGCCAGGTCCCAAAACCAACACAAAAACAGTGCATTCAGTGGTTCTTCGCTGTGTATGGCCATTAATTAAGCCAGTCCACAGTCTCCGAGTCCTTGAGCAAGACCTTTGCAAAACTCGACGAAGCTCTAAGTACTACTGCGCTACGACAGCGAGCTGGAAATTGGCTTGACCTTGAGAGTATTCTGAGTGGCAAATATGAGTTGAACAAGGAAGAGGGGTCACAACTGGTGATTTGCTCCGTGAGAAGGCAAAGCAGATCTGGACACAACTACCACAGCACGCTAGCGAACCGTGCCCAGAATTCAGTGCTCGCTGGCTTGAGAATTTCAAGAATCGAAACCATATTCAGAATCGGGTACGACACTGTGAAGTTGGTTCAATTCCAGCGGTTGCAGAAGCCGAAATGAAAGCTTTACAGACAATTTCAGGAGAGTTTGAGAGAGAAAACATATATAATATGGATGATTGAGGTCTCTTTTAGAAAATGCTACCTTCACGTGGGCTATTGTAACAATCTCGACCCGGGCTCAAGAACAACAAGGACCGAGTTTCTCTCTGTTTTTGTACGAATGCTACAGGTTCTGACTGACTTCCCATTTGGATTATTGGCAAATATAAGAAGCCTCGGGCCTTGAAAAACGTTAGTATTCAGATAATGGGTGGCAAGTGGAGGTGGAATTCCAAAGCATGGGTGAACACAGCAATTATGGGCAAATGGCTTCAAGAATTCTATCGCCACATTGGAAATGCCCGTGATGTACCTTTGACAATGGAGAATTTTTCTGCCCATTATTCTGCCGTTGAATTATACCCTCCTCCGTCAAACATCAAGATCTGTTGGCTTCCAGCCAATAGTACAAGCCGGTACCAACCTCTTGATCAAGGTATTATTCAAAACTGTAAAGTATTCTATAAACGGTACTGACTCCGCTTTGTTCTACAAGCAATTGAAGATGGTACAGATTCACAATCAACTGTAAATACTCGACTAGCAATTCGCTGGATCTTACGAAGTTGGAATAACAAAGTTACCAATATAACCATTCATGATTGCTTTCGGAAATTGACGCTTATTTCCATGCCAATTGCTCTTCCTATGCCTGTACTTCCGACTGGACTTTCTGAATTGTTTAATGAGGTAGTCAGAGCAGGAGACATACGAGACTCAATGGCAATAGACAATTTTATCAATCCAATTGAGGAGGAAGAGGATGGGAATTCGATCCTTGACGAGGCAACAATCTTACAAGAGGTGATAGGGGAACATCTGGGAACAAATCAGGACGAAGAAGAAGAGGTATTACAAGACGGGCAGCCTTTGTGGACAGCAAAAGAGGCCGAAATGGATCTGAAAGTGTTGATTGAGTATACTGAGAGTCAAGATTCTCTTAATTCGAGCTATTTGAGAGTGTTAGAGCGATTAGAGATGGCAATTGAGAGTACAAAGAAGGCATCAAAAGTACAAAGTAGCCCAGATAGCTGGATTAGGTAATCAAGTCCTTTAAAGCGATATCCTCGATATGACGATATTTTTCACGTCCCCGACTACATCGTCTTAACAGGGGTCTGACTGTATTGAGAACGCATATGACGCGAGCGTATATGTCACGGTCGCTCGCTATAATCACTTCGGGGGCAGCTGAAGCCTCGCGGATTTTCGAGTCATTGATTTCAGCGCTCGAAATTTTGCTGGAGCCGCTCTAATCAATTAACGTTACCGTGTCTCTAGCAATAGTCACAAAAGCACATTAACCCTAGTCGCTGGAATAACCAGAATTATCGCTACAGACACAAAGACAGTCGGATGGTAGTGATCTTAGCCACTGCTCGGTTGCTCTAGCTACTTGCTCCTTGCTTGTCCAGCACGGCTGGTAGGCTCTAGTCATCTAGATATTTAGACATAAAATGATAAAAGTCTATTGGTTTAGTACTTGATATGGTAACATTTGCAGTTCTTCAAAAATAAGGTAATAATACTTATCAAGAATCTTTAATTTATATTCATAATAGAAAGCCCCTCACATGATGTCAATTACACTATGCATACGTTAACGGCTAGTAATATAGCCATGTCGTAAAGTTTAAGATAAAACTCCTACATCCTACGACGACTGTCATATAAAAATTCACAAACGACTGCAATAAAATGCATAAATCCAAGACCATACCTTATTGCATCCGTTATTCTGAGATTTAGTTTTCCTGCTTTCAGTGCTATGCACATATCTAGAGGTATGATTACCCACAAAAATAGGATCAGCGGTGGAATCATGGAGTGTAACAGGCGCCAATAGTATACCACAGGAATAGAGTCTAATTCTAACGACGATCGAGGCTATACTGTTAAAGTTATGAGTCATATGGAAACAAAGTTACTTGTCACTTGTCATGTCTAATAGCAGTAGATAGAGGATGTGTTCAACTGAGTTTAATACTGCTAGAAAAGCGAAAATAGTGTTGTGAATATTGTGAGCATGACTTGTAAATGACTATTTACGACAGATACAAGGTCTATGACAGATATCTTGGCAGGGGTGACAAACTACCACGCATGACGAGTTTGAGGCAGAGTCGTATATGCTTGGGTGAAGCATTCGGGTCAGGAAGTCGCAGCCAAGGAGTATCATATATACTTAGCATTATGTCATGGTTGTGAACCTAGGGTCTAGTGAAACTTAGACAACAGGAGATGTAACTGGGTCAATGAGTCTCGGTTTACGATCAAGTAGTACTGACGTAGTCATGTGGAGTAAAGACTAGCACAAGGAAGACTTGTATATGAGATAGCGATATCTTCATGTTCAGATATAAGTAACAGTAAGCAAGCAATCAATCAATCGAATATTAACGGGATCATTATTCACATTATTCTAGTATCATCAATTACACCATAATATCCAATAAATACATTTCTCAAGCACCTCTCTCCCAGGTGCATTTAAGAAGGTCCGTCACACCCCTACTGTGACCACCTCTGTGCCCAGTGGTAGTCCTTTTCTAGGCGAAGGAACTGTCGTTTGTAGACTTTCACCTTCGGGAACTCTTTCTTTGAGGTCTTTGCCGTAGGTTGTGGCACAGCCTTTGATGTAGGGACTGCTGCTTGTCGTAGTCCGTTTTTGGCCACCGTGGCTCAGGTGCTTTTTACAGGTAGCTCTGGGATGGCGGGAATCGTTGTGCTCTTGGCGTCTGAAGCCCTTGGGAGAGGGTTCGCAGGGCGAGGATGGAGGAAGAGTAGCGTGGAGGCTGGGCCAGTAGCCATGTATTGCGCAGTAGCAGCGCGTAGGTAGACTCTCATGGAGTCTACAAATTGTCTGTTTGTCCCATTGGTTAATAGGAGAAGTATTGCTTTGACGCCAGAGATGGCGGCGCGTCGTTGTTCTGCCTCGACAATGGGTCGAAGCTCTGGTGGGCAGTCTGCTTTCGTGAAAGCTTTTGGCTGCAACGTTGATTTTGGCGCAGCTTTAGGTGCAGCGTTTTTCGACGGTTTTGACGCGGTCTGGGGAGGTTTGGATGATTCCCCAATCCCGTGGGGATGGAGGATGATTGAGGGATTTCCTCAACAATTTCAACTGACCCGATTATGTCAGTATCGGACTCAGCGACGGCGGGGAGGGATTTTTCCTTCTCTCTCGAAACGGCCTGACCCATCTCCGCGCATTTCGAATACTGGGCAAGCCCGGGTGATTTTTCAAGAGCCCTCGGACGGACTCCCGTATTGACTATAAAGACGTATCATTATACGCTTATATTCTTTCCTTTGGTGCTGCGGCGGAAGTCGACATTTGTCCCGCGAACGTTCCCAGCTGCAGCTTTGACAGCCCAAGTATTTCTGCTCCGATTGATTTCGTTATCATTAGCACCCTTTGAAGTTGTGGAGCTTCTGTAAATCTTTTTCCCGCGGATTGCTCGGGATACTCCATCGGAAATAAGGGCAAGAAAATCTGCTCCTACTCCTAGGCAGACATCCTCTTTTTCCTCCAGGTATGGGCCGACTAGGTTCATAACACCTCTGGCCATTGATTTAGGTTGATGGTCTGTGGGCTTATCTCTGGGGCTGCGTCGTCTATGTCAAGCTATCGTTTCTGTGGTAAGTGTTGTTCTGAATTCGTAGCGCTTCGAGGAAGATCGTCGGCGAGATCTTTCTAAAGTGGCTGAAGGGGGATTTCTGGGTATCCGTTGGGACTTGGGAGGACGTCGACGACTATATCGGCGTCGGAGAGGCTCGAGGGGAGCAGCATAGCCTGTGGACCTTGAGGCACAGTAATCCTATATATTTCTGCGTTTATTTTCGAAGCGGACGAGTTGTAGTAGCAGCAGATTGCTGTTCTCACCCAGGATTGTTGACATGTTTGTGAATGTGCTTCGTTGCATCTAACATCTCGGATACACCGCATTTTTTATCGCGGGCCTCAGACGCCATGTCCTCTTGCTAGAAAACACACGCAGACTTTAGAGTATACTTACCAAAGAAGCTTTTTGGTGCCGATTTATGCCTGGTGCTGTGTATGATGAGCTAGAGGTTAATGTTTCTTAAATTTAGGATACACTGGCCGAGTTAGGCACGTGCAATTCCCTCTTGTTAAGGTAGTCATTAGCCTTTCCACTGTGATCTTACTAGCCCTGGGGTTGACTGGAGATGCACAATAAGCTTAGCCTACTTAGGATGAACTAGCTTATATTATGGATAGCATAAATTTCCTTTGGGATAATTGATTTCACTGCGATGCTAATCTTTGTCGGTGTTATGTTTGTCAAATACTTTGTTTTTTGTCTTCATTAAAATGGTGTTTGCGCAAGTGTAGCCGTGTTATGCGGGTGCCAACGCCTGCGCCACTGCAGGACAAAAGGAGTTGAGTCACGATATATCTTCCGTTTAGCTCTCGACACCGATAAAATAACCAAGGCATGGAAAATGATCCACCACCAACTGAACTGCATGCGATAAGAGAAACCAGTCGAAGACACTACGACACAAATGATGTCTTCGAACCTACCCAGATATACAGGCGACGCCAATATTTGCTATCTTCAGCACAAAAAATAACACTAGCTCGGGCAAAGAAAAAGATTGAGTTTCTCACCAACCTTCTTACCAACCTAGATACCTTAATTTACATAGAACTTTGTGTTGTATACTACATGGAGTAAGTTTTGTATCATAGCTAATTGTGGGTAATCGTATCCTGACGTATTACTAACAGTTGTTCACTTTTTCGTTTGTTGCTACGCTTTCTAAATCAGATGATATTCTTTACGCCTAAACCAGTCCCTCGACAGCGTCCCTATATCGGTGCGATCTTTGTTCCAGGAATTATTTGTATGCTTCTTCATTTGTTCACTGCAAGTGCTGAGGCTAGTGAAGCTATGCGAGGTTATCTCCACGGTGGAGTCATTATTGACTTGATCGGCCAGAAAGGCCCTACTTCAAAAATTCACTTGTTTATACTTGATATTATTCTCCTCATGCTCCAGTGTTTCATGTTAGCTGTTCATGTTGAAAAGGAGAGGCTACAAATTATTCTAGCAACTGTGGCCAACCCTAGAACAGAAGTGGTCTCCCCTAGAGCCGATGTAATAAACTTACAAGATCATGACGTCGAAGAACGAGGTGTAATCCGAAATGAAAATTTGAATGATTTCGATATTGAGCTGCGAAATATAACTGGTAACTCGAGCTCCAATAACCACGATCCATCACTGGGGGTTAATCGGGAGCGAGAAAGACTTTTGAGGAATTACCCTGCACGAACAGGGCGAGGAAGTGAGGAAGATGAATACGAGGAAGATGAAACGCTAGAAATGTTCTGGTCAGGTATGGCTATCGTCTCAGATTTTCATATACTTGATAATTTGAAAAAGCAATGGCATTCGTATGGTTGTGCAACACGGACTGGACATTTGACTGAATCCTCAGCCATCAACTCTAACCATCTTAGCGAGACTACTCGATACGAACAAGACTTCAATTCACTTCATGCATGAGAATGTAGAATTTCTCAGTACCAAGACTTTGTCTAGGTATAAACACGGCCCACATGAATCAGAACTTATCGATATTCACGCTTTGAAAGATCAAATATAAGATCAAAGAAACGCCTTACAAAGCCAGTTGGGATGATTATTCACTGATTAGTTTGTCTATCTCTCATTTCTAAAATTTGCCGACCATTGGGTATTCAAACTGCGCTAAGGGCTAACGTAGTCATGAAAGTTCAAAACAACCGAAATGATAAACATTTCATATTTCAGAGAATGATTGAAGATGATGATATTTTATCGTGACAGGTTGTTACTCCAGCACAAAGAGGGCATGGTACGCCTGCGAATGAATGAAATCATGAGGGAAGCGAAAATAGCATATAAGAGTCTTTCACATATCCATTGAAAGTGCGGTTGAGTTTAAGAAAATGTCCATAAAGCTGTAGAAAAACTCCTTGAATAAGCGGATAACTTCGTGGATAGCAGACGACATTATCGACAGTGGCACGTATTCCTAGTCTCGCAAAAATTATAGACTAGCTAGAACTTCTGTGATACATGTAAGGCTGTAAAATTAAAGAATCAACGCCATTTACAGGTCCTCTTTCTGGCTATGCCTCACTAGCTTGGGAGATACGATCCATATCTCAGCGAACTGTTCTCTATAAAAGATTAATGCACTTTTTACTCTTAAATCTTCAGAATCTGAGTTGAAGCCATCGGAGACGAATAAATTTATACTGATAATTATAAAAATTTTCTCACAGTGTCATCGGTCACATTTTTTTCGCTGATGACTCCCCGTGAGTGAGAGATATATGTTTATTGTACTACTTGAGTCATAGATTATGTAGCACCTTGTGCTTCTCTCTGGCCTAGGCTACACCTTGTACAGTGCTCCTAACCCCGTTGGTTAATTAATAAATCATTGATATATTCCCCTTGATAAAAAGCCATTCAGCTCAATGTTTACTATTAGAATTATGCCATTTTTTCCACGGAACCTTCTACCCCCAAAAAAAAAATGGTAGCAATGGAAACTGCGTGCGCGGGAAAAGTCTCAAAAAACCTGCAGCCCCAGCCAGGCGAGACCTAGACACCGGGACCACATGAGGTGCGCATATTCATTTATATCTCCATTCTTAGTAATACTAGAGGTCGACTTGATCAAATCCGCCATCTCCGTATCGGGTGCTGGGTACGCTCCGGAAACTCATCGGATGGCTTTTCCTCCATGATCAGGGGTTGGTGATAAGTAGGGCTCCGACCTACCATCTGATCTGATGGTGGTTAGCTTCATGATAATGGTGATAGGGGAATGTAATGAGAGATGAAGAGGATATAGACCGCGAAAACGATTGGGAATCCTCGTCGAAGTGAGGAGTTTGTGACTCAATCTCGGCTCTACAGACTCTACAGTGAAAGCTTGAGGTTTGTAGGGGACACGGCTGACAGGTGTTGAGAAAAGCCCCCCTAAAGTAGCGGTAACATGACTTCTTTAAAGGTTCATTGAGTCACTAATCTAACATCTTCCTGATATTTGCAGACAAAAAGCTCACCTATTGAGCAATATGGTTTCTCAACTTAAGATTTTTCTCGGCGCTAAGGCAGTGTTATCTACTCTTATTCGTGCCATCATTATTTTGTTTAAATTCCTAGCAAAGCTTCAATCGGGAGGCCCTTGGCTTATCCTTAGCCTAGCTTGCCGTTGGACTATAAGGAAAAGTCATGGAGTTAGATTTTTTATGGCAAATACAGATGTCATTTTTGCTGATACAAATGAGAAATAGCCAGATCTAAAGATCCATCCGAAGGCTATATGTGGATTAAACAAACTGGTTGTGATGTACTTGAAGTAAAATTATTTTTTTCTGAAGGAAATAGAAACTGGTTACGAATAATGGTTACGAATAATGATTATTTATACCTCCACTCTAGATTATTCGATCCGTATTCAGTTGATGAGTGAAATTTCACGCTGTACCAATACCTTATATCATTCTGCTCAACCAACTGATTTGGTTGTAGAATCCTTTAGCTGAACATTGCACCCCCCATCTCGCATTACTTAGGAACCCCAAATTAACGCCAAGAAATGGTTCTTGATTTTTAGTAAAAATTAGCACTGAACAGTATTTATCCTACACACCAAATCCCGGTAAATTCCTCCGCTATGCTGAATCATCATAAAATCGCAACATATTTATTAGATATCTTCAAGTTTACCGTTCTGATTAGAGCTACATTTGACGTTGAAAACATATGAAGGTCGATCTATTTTTATGGAACTCATGGTGAGGCTATAAAATTTGTAGACAAGTTTCTCCTTAGTAACCATTCAGCAGGTGGTATTTATACATGCATTGATTACGATATTTGTGAAGTCGTAGAGATTTTGGGAGGTGTGTTTTCTTTACTAGCTATTACGGGTTAGAGCCGATGTCAAATGATGGTGATCCTCTTCAGGATTTTCATTTTATGATTGGGTTCAAATTTGTGCGATTCTCGTGATGTAGCGAGTACGGGGCGTGCTGAATGAGCAAAAACATCTTCGAATGATGGATGAACGCGATTTTGAGCGTATCGATGCCTTGTAAGGGTCATGAGTATCGCATCTTCGGTAATTTCAGTGAAGTAAAATAAAATGTGTCGCTTTTAAGGCGAGAAGTCGTGCCAATCTGGGGAATCGGCTAGCAGGTTGGATCCGACTTTTGCCTTGGGTAGCGTGAGATATAGTGCTCTGTCTTTAAGGTGGAATACTGTAATTTTCTAGATGGGTATCAATAAACTCAGCCACCTACCCGTGATCTACCAACTCGGGGGTATCATCTTAAGTCGTCACGAATTCCGGTTAAATAAGGCAAGAACCTTATGCTATCTTTCGACCCACGTTGCCAATTCCCAATCCCCTCACACTGAATATGAGATCTCCACTTTCATCATCTTCGACGTCTCTTAGACCCCAACTACTCGCTCCAAACTTCCTCAAGTCACGTCCCAAGGTTATGACTTCCTCCGATCCTGCAATCTCTCTTCCTAGTCTTAGTCTACCAACATCCTCTGATCCCATGTTCATTAGAATTAGGACCGTCACAGCTCCAATGCGGGTAACGCAGCCACCTTGTGATATTACCTCAAGTAATTGAAGTGCACATTTTTTCCCTATGTCTTCGGGCGTGATGCCACCTTCACTAGGTGCTGATACGTCAGCGCTATAAATTACGCTGGAATTAACAGTCTCCGCAATTAAGCTGAGTCCAAATCCTATGCCTTGACGTTTTGTAGTTTGATTCTTCTTTGGCTGAGGTGCTTGGTCGTATTGTGCCGCAATATTAATATCAAATAGTAGCGGATTGAGGACCTTTCTTGCTGAGTGTATCATACGCGCGTTACCACTAGCGCTTACGCCTGTGCAGTATGCTACACCTCGAATGCGACGCACACGGCCTGGACTGTTATATAGATGTAGCGTTTTGGGCAGGCGAATCTGTCCGGCGAAACGTAATTCGACGATACCATGTCCACCAGCTCCACCGCGCATAGCGCTACTACGCTGCAGAATACGAAGCTCAAGTCGACTAAGTGGAATTCCAAAAGCATCATAGAGGGGTAGAATAGCTGTACGCATTGTGTCGACACTGATGTCACCTTCTTCGGTCGCACTTGTTATCACTCCATCGCCTTCAAACCGAATATTAAGAGGCGCCTGTGCAAACGGGGCTAAGATACAGATTGGCAGCAGGAACCAGCTAACTCCTCGCCGACAAGTATCGGGTAAAACACACTTGACTACATCACTACTACCCGTCGGTAGTCCTCCAGTAATAAGTCCAGGAATATAGGTGAGTGTAGTACCAGTGTAAGATATCTGGATGGAAGTACCATTGGTAATACTGTCGAGAAGACGAAGCAAAGAAACTTCATTCGGCGCTAGGCCTGGATTGGTGGAAGTAGCTCGAATTTGAGAGACGTGAATCGGACGTCCAGTAAGAGTCGATAATACAAGACGATATGCGAGGGATTTGTGAGTGGTAAACTTCAAGAAATCAAGTATAGGGAGAGACATAATTGAATCGATTTAGGTACTATATAACCATGATTGTGAGATGTCGCTTTACTTCATCTTAATTATTCAAACATTATATCAAGGCGAAGAAATAATAGTAACGCTAGTCCTCTTCTGGGCTGATGCATTGAAGTTTATGCCATATTATTGAGGCTTGGATTAGGGCTTGACCACTGAAAGTAAGCTACGAACAGCAGGCTAATTGTGTCTTGGACAGTCCCGGAGGACGAAGGCTGAACACCTGTTAGTGGTGTCCTCTACACACTTGGGAGTGAAATATTCTCCCAGAGCTGAGATTCAGTCACGAAAAAGGGTGAATCTGAGGGTTTTCGTTGAGTTGGCGATCGGGAGGAGTGGTGCTGGCTCATTTTTAGTCGAAAATCCGACTTGCAGAGATTTCACGACTGCACAACTCAACGAAATCAACCATCTACACCCCAGATACAAACCGCAGACAGGCTACAACCTGTCTGATGTTCGTATTACAAAAACCGACACCTTCAAGGTCTAATTTTCTTCTTCTCCAGAAATTCATTCTCAGCCAAACTCATCTCGCGGCCCTCTCTACAATCATCCCATCACCTACCAAAGCAACCCCATACCTTCAAAAGCTAAATTGCCAACTAACAAGCAAGAGGATTTCCGACCCTACGCAACTGCCAGTCGCTGTAAAGGTACGGTCGAAATACCGGCCTTAAATGCGTCCTCACCTCAGCCAAGGGCACCAACAACTTGACTTGCGACGAATCGCCACCGAAGAAATACGGACGAAATTTCGCCGGCACACCAACAGAGCGTTCGACAAAGTCTGAGGCACCGGTACCTCGGTCTTGAACTCTCAGTCGCGTTTACGACCTCCACGGTTAGGGGTACGTCAGCTACGGGGCAGGGCCGGAGGGGTGAACATTCTACAAAGTTTCCGGGATGAAGAGATCGGCTGAAGGATCGAGGGATGCTACATGAAGGAACAAATGGGAACACAAACTGAGGAGGCCTTCAATGAAGAAAACGACCCCTGGATGAGATGAGGAGATGCTGAAATGAGCCAAAGCTGGGAGTGAAGCGAAGCGAAAAGTTATAGACGGCGAAGGTTTCAAGGGCTCGGGCGCGTGGTGGCCGAGGCTGAGGAGGAATTTGCGCTTCGGTGCGCCAAAAGGGGGTTCTCTGGACGGTTGGGCTTGACATGATTCAACACATGGGTGAAGTCTGAGGTGGTCCAGTCATTCAGGTGGGACGGGGTAGATGTACTTAATGGTAGTTAACCTGATCCAGCCCGGCCCCACCCGTGCTTAAGCTCCAGGAGGAGTGCAGCGGCAGTCACTATACCTAGCACGTAAATGAAAAAAACAAAAACAGCTGTCCCCACTTACTCCAACTTCAACACACAATTTTTTGCAACCCAAAGTGACGATATTGCATTCCATTTACGACATCCTACTGCCTTTTTTATTTCCCAATCACTCATACCGCCCCAGTCCTCCGCAGAGACTGGCTCCTGGCCACCTCTCCCCACCCAACACGCGACGCGCCAGGACGTCGAAATGGATCTCAATGGTCCACCATACACACTACCGCCTGTACCACCCAACACCACACCAGACTCAGTCTGCTACGCGAGTCAATAGCGCTCTATAAACCCGAGCCCAAACCCCACGGCCGTCAACATGATCAATTTCTTGCCGAACAAGCGATGGCTTTCCAGGAACGTTCTGCGGAAGCAGAGCGCAACGTCAGCGGGTACTGCAACTTACTCGAATCGACAACAGACGAAGAGTTCAGACAAGCCATCGAACTCACCGGTTTGGCTCTTCAAAGCCGGATTACAGAAATTCTGCGGGGCAATTCAGCCATCCCCAAAGCCACAGCACCAGCTCAAGCTGCTAGTGGCCACATCATCAAACCTCGCCCCGAGACAGCTAAAGAGTCGAGGAAGAAGACTATTGCGAGCGTCGTGCGTCCTGTACAGATCCTCGCCAGGGAAAACACGAGACTAGGAGCAGCCACACCACCGGCTGCTTCTGCAACACTAATCACTACCCATGGGATAGAACAAACCACCAACCAAACTCCCGAGAGATCCTGGACAGAGGTGGTGCGAAAAAAAGACTAAGCCAGCGACCACAGCTGCCACAAAAATAACCACTGGCCACACGCCCACATCAAAACCCAAGGCATCAGCAGTGATGCAGGAAAAAGCTGACGAGCGCGTATACTTACGGCTCAAACCCGATCACCCGTGGAGACGCATGTCTCCACATTTCATAAAAATAAGCCTGGCTAGTAAACTACGCCTGGCCAACTCATCGATCAGACAAGTCACAGTCGTGAATTCTGGATTTGCCATTCAAGCTGACGGGGAAGGAGCAAGAAGCGCGCTACTGACAGGAGCGAATACCCTAGACAACATTGAAATGAAGTTGGAAGCCGCGTCCAATTGGATATCAGTGCTTGCAACCAATATTCTAGACAGGCTATATACCCTCGAGGGACCAGTGCCAGTCACGCCAGAAATGGTGATCGAAGAAACCACCCTCAAAACCGGCGTCAGACCAACATCTACTCGCACTTTTGCGACTAGCATGGCGAGGCCATCTACAGACTGGGTGCTACATTATGCGACAGGAAAACCAAAACTTGGTGAACGACTATTTGAAGAAAGTGGTCGGCTGCATGAACTCTCGCGCAAGCCAAAAATTGCTCAATGCAACCGATGTTGGGGAAACCACCCTACAAAGATCTGCTCGCGAGCAGAACGCTGTTCACGATGCGTCTCTGTCGAGCATAAGGCCACCGATTGCAAACAGGCTATCCCGAGATGCATCAACTGCCATGGACCACACTCTGCCGTCGAGCCTAAGTGCATGGCAAGGCCGACGCGGGTTGGTGGCAAAACGGTACAGCGCACAAGAGATTGGCTGGCGGTAATTCGCGAACAAGGTCAAAAGGAACGGAACGCTTCTATCAGAGAGATGGAAGCAAAGTAGAAAGCCACCGAGGCGACTGCCGAAAACTAAAATACAAACGTTACTCAATGCCCGTAAGGGACCACAACCCAACCGAGCTTCAAAAAACGGCAGCAAAAATATCTTTCCTCTGTGCTAACTTGGGCAGAGGAGACCCGTCTACAGATATCATCCTGCAATCCGCTTGGGATTCAGGAACCGATATCCTACTTATCCAGGAACCCTGGACCCAACGTAAGGAGGGCTTCTGGCTCACCAAGTCGCATCCCGGATTCGATAGGAATCTGCCTCCCCATGCCGCTGCCAACCCTTCAAGGCCACGCCCCCTCATCTATACGCGAAAAGGGATCTAGTGCCAACAGCAGGCAATCTGCGAGACATCACCGGATCTCACCGCAGTAAAGCTAGAAGAAGTCACATTTGTCTCCGTATACCGCGCTCCTGGAGTAGACCTTTTGCCGCTGCTGTCACGGGCTCCATCTGGGCCTACAGCTATTGGCGGAGACTTCAGTTCCGTTCACACTGACTGGCAGCCAATGGCCAATAGGCTACACAGCGACGGCCAGGTGCTCACTGAGTGGATATTTGTCACGGGACTAAGTCCTAGGAATGGCTTAGCGAACTTGGGACTTAGAGACTTCCATGTACATAGTTAGATTTGCTCTCCTTATCGCACAACACAGTTATTGATCCCGACCCATCCAGATCCTGATACTCCCTTTATACATTCCGTGAAATTTTGTGCGATCTTTAACATACGTGCCTTACCGCGCCCTGCTTCTCTCCTTTGCTTCCCTGATCCAGTTACCTGTAACCAGAAAAAAATTGTATCCTGCAAGAAGATCCTTCTCGAACGCGACAAGGCAATCCTATATTCTTAAAATCAATTTATCCAGTTTGTGTAAAAATGGCCAGCAACCAGGACGCGTCTACTCTGAACCAACTTTTAGATTCCTTCCGTGAAAGTTGGCCGAATCTTGCCAGCGCCATTGGAGACCACACATTCCCGCCAGACTCAAATCCGACTCCTCTCTTGACAACCATAGCCTCAACTTCTGATTTACCTGAAAAAATAATGTTCTGCAGTTTGTTAAAATGTTTTGATCTTAAGTTTGGCGTACTTAACAGACAGATTTCCCACCAGTCAGCAACAATATCTGAATTTGAGTCCAATTTTAAAGGCATGAAAGGACACATCAGTGAGCTAAGCTAAAGACTTACTCTCGCTCATCAGGATACTCTAAAGGCACGAGTAACAATAGAAACGAAAATCCAGCAAGTAGAAAGCCGTCAGAACGATATCAATACATTAAATATGAGAATAAGCAAATTGAATGCTCAGGTATCATCGGGGAATAAAGACATTCATAAGTTACGAACCCAAATTCAAAACAATATTGCTAACTCCAACATTGTTTCTAACGAACAGGCCATCCGTCCAACACCTCGCCGTACTACAGTAGACTATGATTAGTTCACTGGAAATCAGATTAATATGGAGAAAAGGCAATTAGCCTATGAGCGATGGAAGACACAAGTTGAACAGAATATCCTTCTGGATAAGGCTTGCTTCTCTGGTGAATATGAAAAAGTGTCGTATATAACTGGACAACTCACAGACAAGGCATGGGACTCTGTGCAAGATGGTGTCCAGATGATGAATAAGAATCCTGAGAATCCTCAGAAATGGGCATGGAAAACATCTGAAGAATTGTTGACAGTCTTGGACGGGCAATATATGCTACTAGATATCACCCAGACAGCAAAAAATAAATTGGATACACTATACCAAGAAAAGCGCGCCTTCGGAGACTTCAAAGTAGACTTTGACCATTTTGTGGAGAAGGCTAAATATGATGACAGGACAAAAGTCGATTTGCTGAGGAAGCGATTGAATAAAAAGATCACTAGTGTAATAGACAATCAAGTAAATTTACCCGAAGATGACGACTTTAATGGTTGGAGCCAGATGATAAATAGGATTGCTCAAAACTTGGGACAACAGGAGCACATTGCTAAAATTCAACAGGCTCCAAA